GAAGGAATGTGAAACACTCACTTCTTTATTCTATTAAGCTTAAGCTTAATAGTAGAGAATTCTAAAGTTCTCACGCATTGTCGACGTTATTTGAAGAAATGGGAGAAAAATTTTAAATTTTTCCTGCACTTTGAATTATTTTTTCTTATATTCTCTCTTGTTTAGTACAAAATGGAGCGAAATAATTTTAATACTTTTTTTTTTTTTCAACATTCCTTTCAATTTGCTAAAGATTGGAAAAGTGGGCAGAGGTTCATCTTGAGGTATACATGAGGCTCTTATACATAAAAATGCTTGAGCAAATACATCCTTCCATCCAATTGTTGGATCATTTCTTTTATCTGGTTGTATGCTGTGCACTGTGCATGACATATCGCTCAATTAATAATTTTTTAATGCCACGATTTAATCAAGGGAGAATGTAGGCGAATGTGAAGTGTTGTCTAGATAAATTGTCATGAGCACCTTTATAATTGCACATATCGTTGGTTTCATTTTTATTTTTTATTTTTTATTTTTGATGGACAGCCGTTGCCGATGCAAAATCATATATAATAATAAGTCAACTGCCTGCTGATGCCTACAGAAAATATGTTGAGGATGCAAATAAATCACAAGTAACTGGTTTTACTTTTGTTGTCATTAGTATTATTCATGTGGCTGGAGGCAAAATCACAGAAGGTAGCATTTTCACTTTTCCTCTTCCTGTAATTCTTATTCTCACGTAACTAGCTTAAACTTGAGCAATTTTTTCTTTTCTTTCCAATTCTTGTTTTTTTACTTTTATAATCTAACCTGGTATCTCTGACCTCCTATCATGGTCTACAATTCGTGCAGAAAATCTTTGGCATCATTTGAGGCGGTTGGGATTGTATGAAAATGAGGAAAGCCATCCAATCCTTGGAAACGTCAAACTGGCTTTAGAAGGGCTTGTCCAACAAAGGTTAGAGTTGTCCCTGCTGAGATTTCCAGTCTATGCTTTGCTTGATCAAAATGATCACTAGTTTGATTTGTTGTTATACCCTGACATTTGGCTTTGTATTGTTTTATAGATATTTGCAGAAAGAAAAAGTTAATGGCCCTGAAGGCAGTACTTTATATTATGAGCTTGCTGAGAGAGCTCTAGATGGAGCACTTGGTGATAGAATAAAAGAATATGTTACTCAGGTATAATTATTATTAGTTGGATCAGTGTCCACTGGAGTCTGCACTACGAATATTCTTGAATGGATAAATTTGCATTTTTATGCCATCTTATGCTTATTTTTTCTTTCTCTTTTGAGTTTTAGTGTGTTCAGG